GGAGGAGGGGTTTGGCTGTAGAAGTTGTTGCTTGAGGGACTGAGACAAAGAGGATGAACTGGGAGTTGTTGGGAATGGCAGAGCAATTGAGAGGGTAGAATTGGAAAGTGCCATCTCTGATCTATCTTTTATTCTTCTTTGTATATTAAGGCATGTAGATTGGGAGAAGCTTTTTTGAAGTTCCCCGATTCCAGAGAATACTTTTGGACTTTTGGAGGTTCGAGACAAGGAAGGAGTGGCGTGGAGTTTTGCTTGCTTTCCTCCGTATTGGATTTCTGGCCAAAGGTACTCACGATTAGTCCTCAGGGCCGAAGCAAGGCGGAGGTTGCAGGACCGATTAACAGAGATGGGCTTGATTGGACCCCGGAAGTTCGAGAAAAGAAGCGGTGCCCATTCAAAGTAACTGTCGGGTGAGCTCGAGGGCCTCAAAACATGCCCCTTGAATTAAGCCTGGCAAGGTCAAAATGACAGCCAGCAAGACAACTTTGTTTTCTGAGAAAGAAACATGTTTAAGAGACTGAAAGAGAGATATTTGGTTTCTTTAAGTAACTGTTTCACCTAGTGGCTCAAGATAAGAGAGCCCCTTGAACTTTTAAAGCCTGGTTCTTGGTCTCGATCATGTCTGTACCACAGCAAAATTAAAAGTTGGTTTTTTCTGACAAACCGTAAAACTTGAAGAGAGAGAGGAGAAAGAAAGATAATTTTGGATTTTGTCGTGTGGTATGCAGATTCAGGTTTGGATGTGAAGTATTTATTTCTCGAGAGAGAAGAGAGAGACTTAGAGCGTTTAGGTTGGTGTTTGCTCGCACACGCTCTTGGACTCAGAAGAAAGGTGGCTTAGGTGAGACTGGAGGGTGAGAGGGCTTCAGAAATGGCCTCTGAGAGTGAGTTGAGGCCCCCCAATTGTGAGGGTGAATTTTATAGAATAAGGACTCCTCACTTATTACATATTTGCCCCTTCCTTTATCCCATAAATAATTTTAACCCTGAGTATATTGTACGAGATCTAAATACGAGGCCCTAAAAATGGTATGATCAACAAATGACAAAAAGTAAGCAAACAATACAAACAGGAAATACTTATTTCCTACATATTAACAATTATTGATTCAATAGTCAAATTTCCCTAACTCATGTAATATCTATGGCATCTAGACTATTACATATATTCTACTATGCAACCATCATCTGGACTAATTTAACATAATGAAACTCATTACGATCAGTGAAAATTTATATAAAGACTACACAAATCTTAGAGTATGACATTTACTACTAGGTAATTTATGGTATCTATTTGCAAGAAACTATCACTCAAGTTGAAAACATGGGATATGCACAACTTGCATCAAATTTACCAAGTAAAAGTAAAGATGGTAGCTAATCATCAAGACTAATACCAAACATATAGGCACAGCAAACGATACTCAATGAAAATTGAAAACTTGAAAATAATTCACTTCAGAATCTAAGCATTCATAGTTATGGCTACATCATAGGGCCTAGCTAAGGAAAGTTAGTTCCGAAACATAGATAAAATTGTCATTGAATTCATAATTTAAAAAAATGAAAAATTAAGTCTTTCGTATGAATTCTTCTCCAAAAAAAAAGTTCTGCTTTTTTTTTCTTTTTCTTTTGTTGTCTTTCGTATGTCCCTTCTTCTCCAAAAAAAATTTGATCAGTTCTGCTTTTTTTTTCTTTTCTACTTGCTCTTCCTTATTTCCTTTTCTAAAAAAAAAATGTTTAAAATTTAAAGTACCCAAATCTCCATTGCAATTGATGAGAATTAAAGATAAAAAATGCCCTATTCATGCTTCCATCGAAAACCAACAAACTGGAGAATGGAATAGAAATATGGATTTTCATCCCCCTTCAATTTTGATAAGCTGCAGTGCGTCGGCTTGCTCTTGGAAATTGGGAGAGAAAAGCAACCCTTTCTTCTGTCGGTGAAAAAATGGGGATAAGGGCATCCTTTGTTTTGTTGAAGCGGTCAAGTGATGGTCGTCCCTTTAATGTGCAATAGAGGGCTGCTTAAAAATTGAATAGTAGGAAATGAGTTTACACGGGGACCCAAGCAAACAGCAGCAGAGAGATATTAGTGTGGGATCTTAGTGAAGGAACAACCACCAAACTGTCTCTCACCCTTTTGGAGCCGGCATGTGGGATCTTAGTGTACAAGTGAAACAAGAAAACACATCTGTGCTGGTTGGATTTGAATTTCTATGTGAACGCTTTCTCAAGTGAATGGTGTTATATTAGTAAATTAATAAATTTTCATAATATCATCACATTTTATGATAATTACCGTTTGATATTAATATCAAATATAAATTTAGTTCGATCTCTTTTTTTTTATTATTTGTTTTATATATATGTATTTACTTTGATATTTCCCAATGTATATGTATTTTCTTGTTTTTAGACAAATGAAATTGTGTACTTGATAAAAAAAATTGTAATATCCATTTTGTCCAAGGAGGTCCTGTGTTGAACTATTATATTGAAAACAAAAAACGTAATGTCAGGGAGACTAAATTTAGAGACCAAATTTACTAACTAAATGATGTATCACCAATTGGAATGAGCACATTTAAAAACGCTTAAACCAATTATCAACTTCCATGTGTTTTAGTTTTATAAATTTTGTCTACATTTAGTCTGCCTAACATTATCCTATAACTTTTATTTTTGACAAAGGATAGCGTTAGTATGTTAAATTATAAAATATTATGGGAGAATAATCGATGAGATCAAACATGCATTAAGGTGCATAGGCATTATTATTTTTCGTCAATGCAGTAATGCGACATCTACAAGAACATTGTAACATAGGGTTGACTACTATGATTAAATTGTCTTCCCACCAAGAAATGAGTTTCCTTTTACACATTTTGTTTTTCATTTTCAAACAAAAAAATGTTTTGCTTTTGGAAATCTTTCTATTACAAATGATTCCTGAAATTGACCATCACCATCAAGATGATATCTGGAATTAAAAATCAATCAATGTAGTCTCTGAAAATAAGTGTAGCAAATCAATGTGGTCATTCCGTTACAATTTTTTTTTAAATAATGTTAAGTGCTGATGTGACACATAAATTGGCCCTATAAGTCATTTTTACTCACAAATGATCATTGAAATTGAAAATTGATAAATGTAACCCCGCAAGTAAGTGTCTCAAATCAATGTAGTCATTCTGTCAAAAATTCTATTATGTGCTGATGTGATACATAAATGAGTCACACAAGTCTAATTAAATTTAAAAAAATACAAATAGGCTTAATAATTTAATAGTTAATAAAAAAATTGTCAACCCAAAATTACAGTCTTGCAATCACCTTCGATCTCATTCCACATTTCTCTACCTCCTTCGCTCTTTATTCTCTTAAAAAATACCAATACACGCATCTTTATACACTTCAACACCCTTCATCGAATTGAACTTGGATCGAGAACACATTTGGTGACAGCTTAGCCTATTGACAATGACTTCTGGGATATCACCATTAACATTTTGCCGATCAACATTCTCACAACCTTAATCTTGGAGAGTTTGTTTGGCACTTCCCTGATGGTCTGGTGATGCAAAGAATTGTGAAGTCTGCCTTGAGATAATGAGGGTATAACCGAGGTGCGTCTATTGTTGGTTGAAAAATATTTCCACACCCCTCTTAGGCTTTGGTTAAACTTTGTGTCTTTGAGAATTTATGGAAGAGATCTTTATTTGGAGTAGGCCCTACTATAAGAAAAAAAAATATAATTGTGCAAAAAAGTATTTAGACAACTTTTTCAATTAATTATTAAAACCACATCAGCACATAACAATTTTATTTTTACAAAATAGTGGCAAAAGGATCGTATTGATATGCGACATCTATTTTCAATGACTACGTACTGATTTGGTACTAAGGTGCTTTTATAGAAAGTGGGTATAAAAAAAAGCTGAGCTCAAAAAGGTGTTTGGTAAACACTCAAAAACAACTTATTTTCACAGTTTTGAGTGAAAAAAAAAAAGCTAAAAACGTGAAGCAGCAAAAATGAGCTTATTCTCACAACACAACATAATCAGTTTTGTTTTTCAAAGCACAACAATACTAAACCAGCCATACATTGATTGATTTTCAATTTCAAGAACCATATTGATTGTATGGGTCAATTTCAGGGACCATCTTGATGATGTGGATCAATTTCAATGACCATTTAGGATAAAAACCCGTAAATCTTGTGGGGCCCATTTATGTGCCACATCAGCAGTTAAAAGAATTTTTAACAGAATTGTGACGGAATGACTACATTGATTTGTGATACCTATTTTCAGAGACTACATTGATTGATTTTTAATTTCATGAACCATCTTGCTGATAATGGTCAATTTCAGAGACCATTTGTGATAAAAACCCTTCTCAAAATTATATAAAAAAAAATGATATTTTGCAAACTAATTTTTATTTTATTTTCATTCTCCTATAAAAAAATAAAATTAATCCCAGCTGTGAGCGGGCTATCAACCCCTTGGTCTAAAAAAAGTAATCTTTCTCAATAAAGTTGTTGTTGATTGGGATAAAGTTGTATTATTATCGAGAGAGGATCTTCGTCAGATTTTCTTTGTGAAGATTTTTGGAATCCTTCAATTATATCTGTTCATCGTACATCTTGCGGTTCGTTTTCTTCAAGTACTATTTATATTTAACTTTAAATAAAAAAATTATAATAATTTCTATCTGTACGATGTATACTAAACGGATGTGATTTGAAGATCTTTAGAATTATCACAAAAAGCATCCGACGGAGGATCCTCACTAGTCATTATCGTATCGGCACTCAACACTGCGAGGGTGGGTGAGTCAGCAGGGCGGGACTTGTAAATAAAACGAAATGCAGGGCTGTTATATATACGCTGCTTCTTTTTATAATATTCTGCGCTATAAATACAAAGAGAGAACATCAAGTCCCATCCTCTTGTCGAAACAAATCTAGGGTTGGATACTACTACTGCTATACCCCTCGCCTTCTCCAGGTGCGCCTCTCTCTCTCTCTCTCTCTCTCTCTCTCTCTCTCTCTCTCTCTCTCTCTCTCTCTATATATATATATGTATATACACGTATATATATTCCGTGCAACAATTTAGGGATTTGTATTTCCAAGCAATCCCAACCTTTTGTTTTTCAAATTGCTTTGCTTATTGAGCTACATAACAACCAATTTCTGATATATTTGTATGTATAGTTTTTGAATTGAGCATGAAAATTTATTTGGGTAAGCTTGAATTTTGCATATGGATTGTTTGTTTAGCTTAATTTGGTGTGTGGAGCTGAAACTTTTTTCCCCTTGCTGCGATTTATCTGTTTCTATTGACCTTTCGGTTTAGCGAAAATGATAAATGACAGTATTCATTTAATTATCTGTATCTGAATAAATCTCTGCAATTGCTAGCGATTTGGTTTTTTCTTTTTTTCCAAGACAAGTTTTTTTTTTGAGATGTATTTTCATACTATGATCTTCAAAGTGCGAAATAATGGGTATGGTTGCGCTAAACGATGACTCACATATTTCTTCCAGGTACAATGCCTCGTCATGATGACCGCCATGGTGGTTCACGGCTCTATGTTGGCCGCTTGTCATCTCGGACAAGATCACGCGAACTTGAAGACGTATTCAGCAGATATGGAAGGTATGAGGAATGATTGGGATTCAAAGTGCTTTTTGGGTGGTTAGGTAAAACATTGCATAGGAAAATATTTGGCATTTATTGATTGTTCTGTTTGGTTCAAGCTAGTTGCTTATTTGACTGAGCTTTTACAGTTCAATAGAACATACGTGTTTCTATCGTTTCATTATTCTGTTCCTGTTTGCAATTCCATACCAGTGTTAACTTCATGTGCAAATCGTAAGGCTCATTGGGACTTCTGAATGATTTAGACAAGGGAGAATCATTGAGAAAATTAGTTCATGCATTATACCCATTAGTGCAAATCCCATATTTGTGTTCTAATTTTTTGCTGTGGGTTTATGGTCTTTTACTTTCTGTTCTGGATTACTGGTCATTTGGGGCTGTCCATATTTAAAAGGTTTTTGGGAGACAATGAACCCTTTGCCAAGCCATTATTTGTGCTTGAAAGTGTACATTTCTTCTATGTTTGTGAAAACACTTCACCCCTCCATGTGTCCTTTTGGTTTAACTTCAATGATCTTGTTGAAGGTTCCTTGGCTTTTGCCAAACCTGGAGGTCTTGGTGAGAGGTCCAATTGGTGGATTTGGCGAGTCTTTCTATAATTTATTGCGTTTTTTTATGGAAATGGCAACAATCTCAAAGTGGTGTTTAGTTCATCTGTGAGGGGCGAAGTCTCATCCCTTTGATGCTTGTATCATGATGGCCTTACTGTTTATGGAACCCGTTTACGCAGAGTACGTGATGTGGATATGAAGCGCGACTTTGCCTTTGTTGTATGTTATTCTGTACCTTGCTCTCTCTCTCTCTCTCTCACTCTAACCCTTCTAACACGCCCAAGCACAAGCATGCGATCTCGCATTATTTCATCGATTATTATGGTGTTAACTTTTGTCTTGTCAATTTTTTCCCTTGCAAATTTTATCTTCTCTTTGTTCTTCATTCTGTAACTAACAACAGGAATTTAGTGACCCCCGGGATGCTGATGATGCAAGATATAGCCTGAACGGTCGTGATGTTGATGGGAGCCGGATAATTGTGGAATTTGCCAGGGGGGTAAGTATTATGGGTTATATTGTTTAGAATCCTTCTCATATTTCAGCAATGTGTGTTACTAGTATGTTGTTAAGAACTGAACAATGTTCTGTCTGACTTTTTGTTGTCACTTGTCATATGGATTGCAGAGTTGACCTCTATAGTTGTTTCTTGATTACATCACTTGGGATGTATCACTTAACAAAGAGGGTGCAGGGTTCACCCCCTGTATAGTCGTTTCTTGATTACGTCATTTTGTTGTAGACTTTTTATGTTTTGCCTGATATCTATGTATCTCTATCTGTCTCTCTCCCCCTCCCTCCCTCGTTTCCCATGTTTTAAGCTCTCTCATTTTATTGGTCAATTGTCATGAAAATTTTGCTCGATGTCTGGCTTGCATTCAGGCACCACGTGGTCCTGGTGGATCTCGGGAGTATCTTGGGAGAGGCCCTCCTCCAGGATCAGGGCGCTGTTTTAATTGTGGGCTGGATGGACACTGGGCTCGAGATTGCAAGGCTGGAGACTGGAAGAATAAGTGTTATCGTTGTGGGGAACGAGGCCACATTGAAAGAAATTGTCAGAATAGTCCAAAGAAAACAACTAAGTATGCGCTCTCTCTCTGTGTTTTGGCATTATACAGCTCTGCTTATTGACTTAGCAAATTATTTCTTGTGCAGACGTGGGCGTAGTCTCTCACGTTCACCAAGTCCAAGGCGGGGTAGAAGTCGAAGCCGTAGCTACAGCAGGGATCATAGTTACAGGTTTGTCATCATCTTTTCCCTTAAGTTCTGCCTGAGTTCTCATTGCTTGCCTGTGCCTAATCGGTGAAATTCATCTTAAGTGACTCCTTTGCGGGGAGCAGTGAATTTCCAAGTATTCATGTCACTTTTGATCTAGAAATGTGGCTATACTTGGTAAATATTTTGTTGAAACTCAATTATTCTTTTCTAATGTGCAGCCGTTCCCGCTCACCCGTGAGGGGAGAACGGAGTTTGGAGAGAAGATCAAGGAGTCCTCATGACAGCCGGAGCCCTAAGCGTCGCAGGGGTTCACCACCACTCTCCAAGGGGAGGAAGCATGATAGAACTCCCGAAGGGAGGAGCCCACAAGAGCGGGGTAGCCTCTCCCCGCAGGATCGCAGATCTGACGACAGTAGGAGTCCCAGGGCAAAGAGCAGAAGCCCTATAAATGATGTTGAAGGCGACAGCAATGGAGATAGGAAGCATAGAAGCCCTGTTGAAGAAAACAGCCGCAGCCGCAGCCCAAGCCCTGTCCGCAGGAGTGATGATGAAGACATCCCTGGTTCCCCGAGAGGCAGTGAATCACCAGCTTAAATGCACTGTTCTCCAATGACGTGCGGATTTTACATGAAAACTGTATCGCGACAACTTCTTTGCTTTAAGTGGGTTCTGTTTATTGTTCTCTAGCTCCGAATTTTGAACTTACTCTTTTTTTTTTTTCGGATTATGGATTTCTGTGGGCAATAGATAAATTATGTTTGGGATCCACCAATTTTTAAGTTCTGACGCCAGTAGTTGATTATACGATCCGCTTAGTGTATAGTTAACAGCATATAAGGTATTTCTGGGTCTGCCAATGCATAAGGATTTGAGGCTTGTTTAGGATTTGGCAGAAAAATTTACAAAGTGTTTTTAGAGCAGCACGTGTCAACTACTTTTTCTGGAAGCGCCCAAGTGTTTTTTCAAGAAGCATTAAGTTTATGTGTTTTTAATAAAGAAATTGTTACTGACATTCTAAAAATTTCATTTTGTACTCTAAATTTTCTATAATTAAAAAAAAAGTACGTATATTGGCGGGTGTATACTATCAACGTAATCATTACTCATTCATTTTGGTAAACGTACCTTGGTTTTAGATTCAAATTCTCATCAGACCTTGCTTAGCAACCTCAGATAAAAAGGCCCTGCTTGATAATTATTCATTTTTTTAGTTTTAGTTTTCACTTTCTGTGATTGAGACAAGAGGAACGGATATGGGGAAATTGAGGGATGAAGAAGAATGATGGGATGAGAGGGGAAAAAACCAGCAAGGTCTTGACAGTTTCAGTTGCTTTGGGTAGTACAGGCGATGAGCTCCACGACATTGCCCATGCTAGTATATTCTCTCCGCACAAGTTTCCAGCAGACAGTTGCAATTTACTCCAACTGTTTCTCCTTTTCATCCAAGTACTTAAGCAATGACACCTACATTTCAGTATTTCAGTTTTTAGACTTTCAATTCTTAGTTTTCATAAAAAAGTGCAACGAAATAGTTATTAGACGCCTCTCACTTGCTCTAACTTAGTCAAAGGCATAAAACTTTTGATAGGGCTTTGAGTTTGAAGTTGGGAGGAAATAATAAGAAGATATTGTCCCCGTTAACATCTCTGTCTTCTTCAAATTCTTGTTGTACCTTTTTCATGACCTGCAACTTTATATCTTATTCAACGTTTTGGGAATGCCATTTTTTGTCAACAACTGTTCAATCTCGTCACCTTTCTCTTCCATCTTCTCTTCAATCTTTGGACTGGTTTGGTATTACTGTGTTTTAAAGAAAAAGCTACTTCTGCTGTGATGTGACAGCTGTGAAATAAAGCAGCAAAGTGTTTGGTAAATTTTTTTGTACAAGTGTTTTTGGAAAAAAAAAAGAAGTATTATAATGTTTGGTAAACTTTTATGTAAAACAACTGTGATGGTGTGAAATGACAAAAAAAGATATAATACTAGATGTGCCATTAATTTAATTTTCTTAAGTCTTCCCCCTTTATTTTCTCCATCTGCATCGGGAAGTCTCTCCCACTACCGCACTACTGAGCCAGACTTTCCAAAAACAAAAAGGGTAAAGTACAAAAAACTACCTTAACTATTGGTGTCACAATACTTTCATACCTCATCTTTTAAAATTGACAATGTTATACCTCATCTTACGAATTTGTGTCAATGTCAGACATCCGTCAAATTTTCTGTTCATTTTTATGTTAAATGATGACGTGGCTTAAGATGGACTCCACTCCTTAGCCCAACTGGATTAAAAAATAATTAAAATATTAAAAAAAATAATAATAAAAAATAAAAAAATATTTCTATTTAATATTTCTATCCCCTACAAATTCATCACCCTCACCAAATTTAAATCTGTAACTTAACCAAACAACCCCACAATCCTCCTCTTCCGCCATCGCCACAATCCCAAACTTTCTCTCCGTACAGTTACACCACATCGACGCCATGACGCTTAGCAAAACCCCTACCCAACTCTTCCACCTCTGCCTCTAGCGTGACGCCTTCAGTGTCAAAACCCTTACCTCACTCGCAGCTGCTGCGACATCCCCAAACAAAACAACCAGAGGCGTCTTCTCCATCTCCAGACACTTTTATGTTTTCTTTCTCATCTCCATTCTACACCATCGTTGTCCCCTATCCCTGTTCCCCATCGCCGTCCCCTACGGCCTCTCTTCCCTTCTTTGACTTTTCTGCCACTGATCCGCTGCTTTGACCTCCCTCGCTGCTTCCGTCTTCTTTACACCGATCATTACCACCACTCAAAACCCATCATCCAAAACCAATTGACACCAAAAACCCATTTCTGAAATCTAATTAAATTAAATAATTTATGGATACCCATCAATCGAAATTGTTGATGCACAAAATCAGTGAGGATTTTGGTACAACATAAAATGTTAAGTTTGTGACCTTCGCTAGATTGCTCCGGTCACTAGTGTGGATAAGTATGTAAATGGATAGGGACAGGAAAGCAAACACAAGATGTATGTGGTTCACCCAGATTGACTACGTCGACATAGTAGAGGAGTTCTCATTAATTGTGAAGGGTTTACATAAGTACATATGTTCAAGCTCTCATTTTGTGAGTACTAGTGAATGATTTAATACAAATGACATTTGGAAATATTGTGAGAGAATGATCTCTATTTATAGAAGAGAGTTTTTAGTTTCATTCTGACATTGACACTTGTCGTGTTGTGATTGGCTTCTGATGTTGACATGTGTCGCGCTATGATTGACTTCTGATGTCGACACGTGTTACACTGTGATTGGCCTCCTGGTTGGAGGGAAACTCTTCTGGGTCCTTGACGGAATAACGTTGACCGGTGCTAAGTTTCAGGATTGGTCAAGGATGGTACAAACAGTGATTTCCTAAGTTCCCAAGTGAAGGAAGCTCCTCGGTTAGGGACTTGCAAGATCCAAGCCATTGAGTAATCACGAAACTTCTAAGTACCGAAGTGTGGTATCATTTTCACTTGCCTTATCTGTCTCATATGTAGATGTGGTATCTTTTCTGGAAGTACTTTTCCTCCATCCAAGGGTGGTATCTTTAACCGATGAAGATGCACAAGGTAATGTATCAATTTCACTTGAAGCTTACTTGTAGTTTCGGGCTTGGTCAAGTGCGATACAAACCCTATAGTAGGAGTCTCCTAAGTTGCCGAGCTAGGAGATTTGCCGAAGGAGGTAACAGACAAGGTAAGCAATCAGATTTCCAAGCAAGCAACCTGGATCAGAGGTTTGACTTCGGCTTCCGGTTGATTGTTCTCTTTCTCCTTGTGTCTTAAACAGCAACAAGGATAAGGATAAGCAAATGGAGAAGAGATGATATGAGATACTTTTGCTTTTGAAGAAGTAACTTTCCACAGGCTTGTTCTTGAACTAGGCTAGAAGGTTTTTTGGTTTCCTCCAGAGTATAAGGCCGACTCAAGAATTTGAGGGTCAAAACAAGTCCATCAAATCTATAGTACGTTCGACCCTGATAATATGGGATACTTTTGCTATTGACAAAGTAGTGGATGTATCAGCACGTGTTCTGTTACGCTTGCCTCCACATGCTTCCTTGTATCATTCTTACTTGCCCTATCTGTTTCTTAGGCAGATGTGGTATCTTCTCTAGAAGCATAAGATGTTGAAGATGAGTACTCGAGAGCAATGCCAGGTAAGTAATCAGGCAAGGGGTTATCTGCAGTCAGTTTCTGACTGGAAGCTTGATTCCAAGTACTGACTGATTGCTGTCATTCTCCTTGTCTTGCAGGTAAGAACAAGGCCAAAAGAAAAAACAGGAAAAAAGCATGATATGAGATACCCTTTCTTTTAACCCTGATAATATGAGATACTTTTGCTCTGGTGTGGCTTGTTTGCAGAGGTATTATCGGGAGGAAAAGAAGCTGAGTATTTTGAGAGACTCTGCTGAGAGTGCCCTCTTAGATGTGAAGAAAAGTAAGCATTTTTTTATTTGCAGGTCTGCCTGGCTGTGGAGGATGGAGGTCGACATATATAGGAGTCTCCCTAACAACAAATAGTAATGTTATTCCTTTACCCTTATTGGTCATAGCAATGTAGTGGAAGCTGCAAGCTTCACGAGTTTTAACTTTGTCAGAGCACTTGGAAAAAATGGTATGTGGTATCTGGAAAGCTGATGTTGTGTGTGAAGATTGCAGACAAGCTTTATCCAAGGAAATCTGACCCTCGAAGTTTGGAGAGCGGTGCCTCTTCGGTTTTTGAACAAGAAATCCTGTCGAGGATCTGGCTCTCGAGATTCAGAGAACGGTGCCTCTTCGATTTTTGAGAAAGCAATCCTATTAGGAGTCTGACTCTTGAGATTCGGAGAGCAGTGTCTCTTCGATTTTTGAAAAAGTAATCCTGTTGGGAGTTTGGCTCTCGAGATTCGGAGGGCGGTGCCTCTTCGATTTTTTAGCATGTAATCTTGTTGGGAGTCTGGCTCTCGAGATTCGGAGAGCGATGCCTTTTCGATTTTTGAGAAAACAATCCTGTTGGGAGTTTGACTCTTGAGATTCAGAGAGCAGTGTCTCTTCAATTTTTGAGAAAGTAATCTTGTTAGGAGTTTGGCTCTCGAGATTTGGAGGGCGGTGCCTTTTCGATTTTTGAGCACGTAATCCTGTTGGGAGTCTGGCTCTCGAGATTCGGAGAGCGGTGCCTCTTCGATTTTTGAGCAAGCAATCTTGTTGGGAGTGTTTTCTCGAATGTGAGTAAACGTTGGACATTTTTGCCAGTCTAGCTTGCCACGGAGCACGGAGGTTGACACACATAGGGACTTTCTAGTTATCAAGCAATGATGCTGTTTCTTTACCCTTGTGTGTATTAGTAGGGTAGCTGGACCTTCAAAATTTATGTGTCTAAACTTTGTCAGAGATCTTTGACAAAGTTTTCTATGGTACCTGAGTAACTAATGTTGCGTGTGGAAAGTGGTGCCTCTTCGGAATCCGGATAGTGGTGCCTTTTCGATTTTTGAATCAATGGCCCTGTTGCAACTTTCTTTTATAAGGGCACCAATTGTGTGCAAGAAGTACTTTCAGAGAGTTATTGCTTGTAGGAATTTTCCCCTTAATTCAGAGATTTATTGCACCTCATTTCTCCTTCATCATTTCTGAGAATGTCTGGCTCATCCGACTGTCATTTTGACTTGAACTTTGGTGAAGAGGCAACCATGCCTTTTCAAGACAACATATGGTGCCCACCCTTCTTATCTCCTACTGGTCCTCTTACTGTTGAGGACT